AAAAAATAAATAAATAAATAAATAACTATTGATAGAGAACTTTTTTTTTTTTTGACCAGTAAGGGGATCGCAACCCTTGGCTCGGTGTCATCCACACCACACTCAACCAGTGAGCACTGTGGCCATCCCTATATAGGATCCGAACCGTCAGCCTTGGCGCTACCCGCGCTGCACTCTCAGGCCACGGGGCCGGCCCGATAGAGAACTTCTATGAGACAATACCACATCAAATCTTCATGTGGGTGTCTAATTAGACATTTCGTTCTCTACTAGCATTAATACATCTTTGTAAGAGATACAAGACTAGCTTCCCCTTGCTGTTTGTGAAATTATGGAGAAAACAGGATGAAAAAAACTTTTTATTACACTTGAAGAGTGTATCAAAAATAACCTCACTCAAGGTTCACAGCAAAATTGGGACAAACGTCCTGCTGCAATGAACAAGAACAAAACACAAAGAAAAAGAAATACATTGTCCCAGTTCTTTCGTGCCTCCTTTTGGCACCTGTGGGCAATGGAGATCTTGAAGACTCTCTTTGCTTTATAGATGAGATAAGCCTTGCAATAAAAACATTTCAGTTTCCTGCTTTAAGAATGTTCACAGTGTTGAGACCCTAACAAAAATTTTTCAGGCAAGAAATCTCAAAATTAGTTTGAGACAGAAGCCTAATGTCTTACTGGAATGTGAAAAACTGACTTCCTACATTGTATTTACATTTTTACCACCTCAACTTGCACATTCAGAACCTGGACTTTCAGCTTTAAGGTGGGGATCCATGTAATAATTAACAAGATTTTGCTAATGAACTGAAAATAGCATTACTATAGAAATTTTAATTTTCAGAATAATTTTAACAATATCCTATACCTCCACAAATAAAATCACCTATACTATCTATCACCCTAGGACTACTTACAGCAAATGAACATACACCATAGGCTGAACATCTCCCTTTGAATGATGGTTTCCACTGTGGTACATCGATAATAGAAACATTACTGCTGACCCTATAGTAAGTGCATCACAAAATCTATCTAATTTCATTGATTCCTCACAATAGCCTGTGAAATTAGGTGTGGCCATCTCCATCTTATGCACCAGGTTAAGGTACCTGCTGAAGTTCACACAGGTAGCAAATGGAGAAGGAAGGAGAAAAACCAAGCAAGATCTTTGTGGCTCTAATGACCATGATTTTGTACTCAAAGTCCAATTTGCCATTATAAAACGGAAAATCCACCAAGTAAGCTTAAGTTTATTTGTATTTAGTGACAGGACAAAGAGCCGTTCCTGAGATGTTGCTGCTTATGTCAAAAATAAAAAGCTTCAAGTCCGGTAAACTTTCCTTTTGAAGGACTTCATTTTAAGGATATACTAAAACTGCTAAATTCATAAGTAATAAAAACACTTACATACTGTTCAGATGCTTATTTATATTTGCCAGATGCTAGTCATATGGCAACAAAAATCTATGGGTTGAAAAGTCCCTATCAACAAAAAATACCAAAAAATCCAAAATCTTCCATATTTGTAAGAAAACAAGTAATAAAAACTACAATAAAAATCCGCTAAAGAACCAAAATTTTTTAAAATTTAAAATTCTCAGGATTTAGACCTTGTGGTCACTCTATATATTCTTATAAAGCAATTTCCACTGCATGCACAAAGGTATCAATTTCATCCAGATTTACGGATCTTCAAAGACTTGACTGTTTCAAGCAGAGAAAATAACTACTATGAAATAGAGATTTAAGAGTCATGTAAGTTCAAAGTCAAGTCTCCAGAATTCAGTGCCATAGGTTATGAAGACAAATGCTGATTTCAGGCATCTCACTTTCCTCTGACAAATGGACTCTAGTAGACAACATTCTTTACTCCAGGACAACATCTCTTGGGTTATCTCAGACATATCTGATGACTAAAACATGAAGGAAACCTAACAAAACTTACATGAACTAAGGCATGGGTTAAGCAGATATGCTAAAATAAAGTTACTATTTTAGTGGAGACCTACCATATTTAAAACTAATAGAGTATTCAAAATCAGTTTTCTCTTAATAGGAAGAGAATGACCAAGATAAACTGAAGGAAAAAAATTCAGGATATAATTGTAATTTGTGGTAATAAGCATGCTGATGGTATGGATCTGATCATCAAATCTTGGGCACAGGTAGTGATGGTCACCTTTGTGCCCGTCAATACAAAAAAAAAAATCAATTAAAAAAATTCTTTTAAGAATAATGACTAAGCGGATTCAAGAATAAAATGCAAGGTTAGTAAGGTTTATAGGGACTAAACGAGTTTATATTCCAACTGGAGAGACAAGATAGTGTTTATTTTTATTACTCTTTTTTAGACTTCATGTGCCGAGTTGAATTTTTGAGGACAGTGGGAAGGCTCTGCAAGATTCAGAAAGAAGAAGACAGGATTTAAGGTTAAAGGAGGACATTTCAGTGGCAATGTGCATGACTCATAGTCCTCCTATGCTTTCTTAACAAAGATTATATATCTGCCTGTGTCTTTCTCAATGAAAATCCTCTTTCTCAAAAGAATTGGCTTCAGGTGAAACCTCGCTATTCCACTGTAGCTACCTTTTTAGTTCAACTTGCACTTAGGTTTCCATCATGGACAACCACTAGAAGTGCACAACGTAATATATTCTAGAGCCAAAAGTATTGTGATTTTAAGTTTTTATTCCTCTTTGTGTTATTATACTAATGTAGATCCTAGTTTTGCCGTTACTCATCTTTAAAAATGAAAAAGTAACTGTGTTGTACCTTTCTAGATACATTACTAATACTATATGATTTAAAATGAAGGTTTTATTATTATTCATCTATGGTGAGGCCAACAGACCAGGAGATGGCTAACACTAAAAAGACAGTTTGTTCTTCACAGTTCCCAAGAGGAGGATGCTTGCCAGGACACACGGGGCCATGTGGGGAAGCACCAGCGTCAGTCCAGAGACAAAGGGAGTGAGGGAAAATACGGTCAAGACCTGTTACTGTGGTTTCCATGGGAAGGAATGGGCAAGGCAGAGTAAACAGGCTTACAATTGACTGGTTTGAATAATTTCTTCAGGCTCTTGGATATGGGGACTGTCCCTAGTTGTCTGGTACCTGGCCCCGGGGTGATTAGAGCAGATGGACAGTGGCAAAGAGTATAAAAACTAGATAAAGAAGGTAGATGTAGGTATGGGTTTTGGATTGGTTGGTTTGCATATGAAAGATGTGCTCACAGGCCATTCATTTGCTATCTCTAAGGAACTGGCTAGCCTTGGGAGGGGGAGCCTCTATAGGGCCAGTAAGGCCCAATATCAGAAAATAAGAAAACATTAACAGTCTACTAAAGACTTATAATCTTAGAAAATATATGGCAGACTAATTCATGAATTGTGTATAATGTCTATCAAAAGACATTTTAAGTATTTGTGCTAAGTAGGACAAAAATCAGTCACACTGTCTGATATTTACCACAGAATACTAATACCGAAAAAATGAATAGTTGACTTCAACCTGAGGTCTTTCTTCATACATTTATGTTTCCTACTTTTTTTTCACATTCACTCCTAAGTTTGTAGACCACAAGTTAGAAAAGTGACTGGCAAATAAGAAATGCCAGATGCCAGTTAATTTAATTAATAAAGGAATGAGGAATCTGAGAAAGGGCTAAAATTCTCTGTAATATCAAACTCTAATACAACATCCATTGCCTGGTAATAGACATAGTTTAAATTGTAGTTGATACTATTACATATAGATTAGCTATGTTTTAGACATGTTAGTTTTCGATTTGTTTAATACAGAATCCGCTTTAAAAAAGGAAAGGCGGAGAAGGGATTGCAGCACTATGTAGTGAAAGGAGCTTCATCATACTAGGAGGAAGGAAGGCTTGGATTGAAAACGCTACCTCTGCCACTTACACTGCTTTGTGCTCAAGTGGGAAGCCACTCTCTTGAACCTCTATTCCATCGTCTATCACTTATGGGACTAGATGAAACAATCATTATGGTTCAGCTCAGCTTTTAGTTTCTGTTTTCTTATGAATTAATTTTGTAAAAAAAATAGTTGGGTCAAAGTTTTAATCATCTGGTATTGAATAATAAAATATTATTCATCTTTACTAAAGAACATTTTAATGGATTTTAATTTACAACATGGTGGTTATAGGTACTCCATATGTACAGATTACTAAAACCAAATACCTTTCTTCACCAAAGAGAATATTGTAGACAATACAATTTGTAAGGATTATAAAATTCTATTATACCTACTACACACAGATCTTTCCTAGGTAGCAGCACACTCATGGAAGATGCAAAGAAACCCAAACTGGTTTCTTTGCTACATCGTAGCAAATATTTAAAATAAGAACTGTACATCTTTAAAGAACTGGATTAAGCCATTGGGCCCTGGGAAGACTGAAGCACAGGTAAATCAGATTTGCAGGACCAAAGGACAGAAAAGCCATGTTTACCTGAGACATTCTCTCTCGGTGCTTGGCCTCAAGCCTCTCTTTGGCTTTCTGGAAGTGGGCGTGTTCATTCTCATCTCCAGGTGTCTCAAGATACTTGTCAACGGCATCAGGGGTGCTGGCTGCTGTTGTAGGAACTATAAAGTAGAAGGGAAGGAGGTTTGAGAAGAGAAAAAGAATATCCAACATTTAAAAGAAAGTCATATTTTCACTTATTTCCCGGAACAAAGAACTTAGTAAAGAAGCACAAACAAGATGTTAATGCTGTTTAAGGGAACACCACAAGTCATCTCACAGCACAGTAAGAATGTATTCCACCTCTTCCAAGAATAGGGTACAGGAAAATCTTTAAAACAGCCTATTTTGCAATTATAGGATTATATGTAGAGTTCTTTGCACAACAAGCATACACAGAGCAAAAACAGTTGGTGCTTAATACAGATATGTGTTTCCAAATCCCCATGCTTTGCTAGATTTTTTTTTTTGTAATCTTGAAAGTAAATTATGGTATCATCAATATCACACATTAAGATTCCCACAGAAACCGAGGAAATCTGAAAATTAGCCTTTTGCAGAATAACTGCACCTCAGAGACAAGGTAAATTTTATGTAACATATTTAAGATAGCTTAATTAAAACCATTCTTCATGACAGAGTATTTGAAACAGTACAAAAAGAAATACAAATATCAACAAATGCAGTTTTGAAATCACAAAAGGACCTCTCTGCTTTTACAAATTTGGCAACAGTCAACAAATTCATTATATCTGTTGTCAGAAAGAAAGTGATTTCTATTTTGGATTCACCTAATACTGCTAAGCAATATTCAAGTTGCAACATATACTGCTATATTATGTGGAAACATAAATACCCATAAAATTCAAGACTACACTATAAAACAAAAATGTACCTAACTCATGAGCCAAGTGAATTACAAATGCCTAGACAAGAAATTTTCCAAAAGATTAGTAATAACTACTGAGAATTCAAAGTATTTACAAGGCTTAAAAAACAAAAAGAGATTTTGACTTAAAAGAAGTAAGCATGTTTAAACTAAAAAATGAGTGAAAAATGAGTAAAAAGTGAAATGAATTTCACTATGTTCTCAGGTCAAATCAATTTAAGTGCTTTATTCAAAAGATTATTCAAATATCACCCATGCTCCAAGTAACCTTTTCACTTTTCTTATCTAATGACATGAATATTATATTTGGGATATAATACCCCAAAGAGGACTTGAATGAGAAGAATTTATGGCTAAGCCGCTTTGAAACTAAAGTCTAAGTTAAATGTCTTTTTTACACATGCTTCTAAAAAATGTCTGGAATCTTAACAATCCAAAGCCTTCAAGATATTAACTAAAACCAAAAGGCCTTTCTGTTAAATAACAAATAAGATTTTTAATTTTAAAGAGAAACATTCATTTTGATTTCTTCCCTTCTACTTCAACCACTGATTGATAATTATTTTCAAAAAATAAAAAAGCAGGTGAAATATCTGACTAGATGTTACTTTCAAGTGGAAGGAAGGAAGAAAGACATATTCCTAGAACCTTTATACAGCTGCCCCCGTCTTCTGTGAGGTAAATGAGTGAGTGGTGTTCCAGCTCACACTGGCAGCAAAGGGGAGAAGACAGGTAAGAGCATGCAGGGTTTTGCAATTACACTCGTCTGGATTTGAATCCCAGTTCTTTCTTAGATCAACTGTGACCCAGAGCAAGAAACATAAGCACTCCACATTCCAGTTTCTTTATCGAGTGGCAACAATATGCTGCATGACATGGTAGGAGTGTTGAGAAAATGAGATTCCATACCATGTGTAAGTCACGGAAAAGAGAGGGTGACACAGAGTACTTCATACATGTTAGTGCCCTTCCCTCCTCCTCTGATTATTACCTCCTTTCCAAATCTTTGAATTTATGCCAATCATGAGAAAAGCAGCTACTTTTATTTCAAATTCACTGAAAAAGAATTACACACAGGACCATGAAGCACCAACTACAGAAAAAAGTACACATGTATTTTCCAAAAAAATCTTTGGTATGTCCCACATAAAAGGCTGAAAGTATCAAAAATAAGTGAGTTCTTAATTCATAAGACTGAAACAATAATTTTCAATATTAAAATTTTTTTGGAAAGAAAAATCAAAGGTAAATAAATGTTTTTCTGCAGAACTTCAAGCAAATGAATATGCATGCTATTTTTAACTTAATCAATTTCTCAATGTGAAATGAAGGTGCATTTTAAATGTGTTTCCCATGGTTTTCAACAATTTCTCATCTTAACTGGTAGGGCTCAAAAGAACAAGTTAAAGTAAAAGCAGAATATAAAACAACAGTATTCTTTTGGCATAGTATAATCTGGCAGAATGACATGATTAGGCAAACCATATTTTATGTTTTAAACAAATTAAAGTGTGTAAATGTTTGGGGTTATATGCACTGATTAAGATAGTCATCTGGCTTTAACTGCTACAACCATAGCATAAGCATCCCTTTGGAAAATTGGAATCGTAAAACTTACTATATAAATAGGAAGTTTTTCCAGCTCTTATGGTTTGTAAATTTTATGATTTTCTCCAATTCTTATGGTTCGCAAATATTGCCTCTGTATAATGGAAAGGAGATAAAACCCTATAATCTGAATCACTATAATCACATTGGCCTCGGTTGAAATGTAGCTTTACAATACTAAGAATGAAAGAATAATCAGGAAATAGACATGCGAGGTATGTTTAACAGGATTAAGAATATTTCAAGTATTAAACCTTCTTTTTAGACACATGGAAATAAATACAAATACTGTATTACCAATTTATTACATTTATCAAGAAATATTTCTGTGATGGTTAATTTTATGTGCTAACTTGACTGGGCCACTGTGAGGGTGTTTCTGGATGAGGTCGGCATTTGAATTGGTGGACTCAGTAAAGTACACTGCCTTCCCCAATGTGGGTGGGCATCATCCAATCTGTTGATGGCCTGAAAAGAAAAAAAAGATAGAGAAAGAAGGAATTTACCCTTTTTGTTCCCTGTCTGCATCACTAAGCTAGGACATCAGTCTTCTGCCCTTGGACTGGCTTTCCTGCTTTCCTGGGTCTCTACCTTGCAGATGACAGATCATGGGACTTACAGCCTCCAAAATAACTGTGTGAGCCAATTCCTTATAATAAATCTCTTCGTATATGTATGTATGTGTACATATATGTTTGTATATACATGTATGTGTATATACATATGTGTGTATATATTCTATATTGGTTCTGTTTTGCTGGAGGGCTCGGAATAATATAATTTCTCTTCAATCAAATCTTTGTTAGGGGACCTAGTTACTTCTAGTAATTGGAGAATTTAAGAGATGCTGTCTTTCAATCTTTAATTCAAACTGTTCAGCCATTCATACTAATCCTCCATCTCAATTAGTATAAGTCAGTAAAATTATCCTATATTCATATCAATCAGCAAACCAGGTCACCATTTAGTCAAGGAGAGAAGAATAACAGCATATTTTGGTATTTTTCAAATGAATTTGATATTTTATTATCACTGCTCTGCAGCCAGTGAGGAGGAAGGAGAGAGCATTTTTAAGGAGGAGGTCCAGAGGGCTCAGCTTCTGTTTCTCTAATATCCCTATATCCTGAAGACATCAATTATCTTACCAGGGCTGGCTACTGTTGTGTGATAATGTCCATGGTGGGCTATGTCCCTACCCATTCAAGGTGTTTCTTTTGGGGAAAGGCGTAGCTCAAGGAATGTCAAGGCATGTCCCACGACACAAAGGGAACAAGAAAGCTGTATACTGCAGGTCACTTAAAACACAGGTCACTGTAACCACTTAGAAAGTGAAAACAAACTGGCTTTAAGAGGGTTTCGCTTTTGTTTTTTTGTCTTTTTTAAGCTGTTACCCTGAAGCAGTTTATCCTGTTCAGAGACCTCTGAGGTTCTAAGAGACCTTAGAAGCTATGACCTGGGCTCAGATTTCCAAGCTGGCCAAATAATACTAGTCTCTTTTCATTAGGCATGTTACATGAGTTCTCATTTAATAGGTGGGGAGAAAAAAAGTCACTATTTTATTGTGTAGAGGGGAAACCCTATCATTTAACATAGTCACACCCACAAACACACATAAAGTCTGAGTTTAGGACTAGGTAAACCATAAAAAGATATAAAGTTAATTTTTAAAGGACTAATCTACCAACATGTCCAGGCAGCTGGAAAGGGTATGTTTTGTTTTGTTAATGAACAACATGAGTTCACAAAAAATATGTTTTTTTAGGATCTCTGTTGGCTTATTTTCTATCAAACAGCTGTTCCTGCTCTGAAAAATATCTGCTAACAGAATTAGAGCTGTAAAACAGGGGTCAAGCGAAAGATCCCATAGAGGTGGAACAGGGATGACTTTTTAGCCCTAGGTCCCTGCTGAAACATGCTCACTCATATTATCTGTGAGCAAGCTAGCTGGATCACCTTTCCACAAAAAACTGGACTTAACAAAGCTCAGGGTTAAACATCTTAGCTCTAAGTTTTGATCGCTAGGCACCCAATCATTAGCAGCACTACCAACATCATATGCATGGGCTTTTACAACTTTTTAAATGACTTTCATTTTTATTTTCTTATTTTAGTCCCATAAAAGCCTTGTAGGAGATGGTAGATACATAACAGTGAGGATGTATCTAAACACTCATAACAAATGAAAAAATACAACAGAAAAGCAGTTCCAATTCACAGTGGATTAAGCCTCAAGTCAACATTCAGCTTCCAAATACTCACTGGCATTATGGATGACCAGTGCCTTTCATGTAAGCTCCGTCCTTGATCTCTGCAACCCTGGGAGGTCAGAGATATTTAAGCAGCTGAGAGAGCAGCTCTGAGTACACAGACTATGCTGCCTTGAGTGTGCCTGTCGGTTCCTTTATTTCTCCATCCCACCAACACTGTAGCCCCCACTGTATGTGAGGGATGTGTGGGCAACCTAAGAGCAAAACGAAGCCCCTTGTCCCGGTGGAATTACATTCTAGTGAAGGAAATAATCACCACGGGGGAAAAAAAAAAGAAAAGAAAAAAGACAAAGAAATCATATTGTTAGCATGTGATTTACATTACGGAGAAAAAGAGGAAAGAAGAAAATAGAACAGG